TATTTCACAATTTGATTCAAGTGGGTTATGAGCTCCCATTTTTACCCCATATACAGATTGCAGAATCACATCAGTTACACATCCATTGATTTACATATTGCCATACTAGTGTCTGTTGTATTCTGCTGCCTTTCCTATCCTCTACTATCCCCCCTCCCCTCCCCTCCCCTCCCCTCTTCTCTCTCTGCCCCCTCTACTGACATTCATTTGTCCCCCCTTGTATTATTTTTCCCCTTCCCCTCACTTCCTCTTGTATGTACTTTTAGAGGCAGAACAAACCACCGAGGAGAATTTAAAATATAATGTCCACCTTGAAATAACTATTCCTACGTTAAAATGTTGAATATTTTTAATAAGATATAGGGAATTGTTTAAGTTTCTAACCACTGATTGAAATAATTATAATGAAAAATTAATATCATTAAAAGAAACTTCTGTAAGAGAATAAAGTTAATAAGCAAATGAAATAGGAAAAAAATAACAAGAAAGAGTTAATGTCCTTAAAATCAAGTCCTAAAATCTGTGAGAAAAACATTGGGAATCAATAATTAAACAGTCTTAAAATATCAGCAAATGAGTCCCCAACACATGCTTATTTTCTGTCTCTATCCTTCTCAGAGTAAAGGCTAATTATAACTTGAAAAAAAAATAGATCAACCAAACACAATGAGTAAAGAACAAAACATATAAAAGGAATGAATACTGTCAAATTGACAAAATCATTAGTAATGGTACTCAGGGAGAAGAAAGTTTCAACCAAACAAACTCTCTAACATTAGTAAAGTGTAAATCTATAACACTTTTATAAAGCCACCTGGCAGTCTTATTAAAACCCATTGGTTTTGAAGTAGTAAATCAACTGCAGATATTCTGACCTAATGAAATAACTTGCACTCAAAAGAAAGCTTTATGATAATAATTGCTCCTATTTATGAAGCATGTACTTTATGCACCAAATAGCCACTCTTCACAAGAGAAATGATACTCTGACACACAAAGAGCAAAGTGATAATGTTGGAGCCCGGCATGTAAGGTGTTGACTACCTTACTTTGAATGCTCATGCTGGCAAAAGGGAAGCAGTAAACTATATTACAGTATCTTTGCATGGTGGAATATTATGTAAGCATTAAAAATGAGGTTTATTTACAATTTGCTATAATATGGGAAAGTGCACATGAAACCACAAGCAAAAAAACAGCATGCAGAATCCTACGTAAAGAATACGCTCCGAAAGGCTATATTAAAGGCCAGCAGTAGCTGTCTTTAGTGGGCACAAAAGTGGTGAGTTTGTTCTCCTTCCTTTACATATTTTCCATAAAGAACATTCACTGCATTAAAACATTTATTCTTTTCTTCATATTTTTAACTGCAAAAATAATAGTGAAAATTTGAGATAGTGAACATGCCTGATAAAATGTGAACCCCTTCAACGCCAGAGATAATCCCTATTTAAAGTTTGGTGTGTATTAATATATATTCTAGCAGATGTTAGTACATACACGGACTTATGCATAGAAATTAGATGGAGTGTATTTTTTAAGATAAATGGAATTCTATTAAATATATCATTCTGCAATTTGCTTTTTCCAGTTAATAAGATACCATAGATAGCTTTCCATTACTTTTCTAATCAGAATTTTATTTCATATCATTACTATTATCGTGAAGAATACTTTTCTATTATGCATAGAAGAAGTATGTAGGAACCAGCGGCTCTGTGCGGAAAAGGCGTATTTCCAACAGTTCTGCTACATTAGGCCTACGGGCTGGCTTTAATTATTTTTTCTAAGAATGAATGAATGAACAGAAAATGCCCCTGCCTAAACTCTTGAAAGAAAACATAAATTAATTGCTCTTTCACTTTTTCTTTGCCCATTTTTTTAGATGGTAAAAAGTTACAATAGTCAAATACACCTTGAAGTATAAGAGTATCATTCTGTAAAGAAAAGAATAAGCAAAATACAAAACAAAACAAAAAAAAATCTCTCTCACACACACACACACACACACACACACACACACACACACACACAGCATTTGAAGTATGGGACCAAGAGTGTCTCCAGGTCTTTTCATGATTTATACATGTAAATCTTATTCAAACTTGACTTATAGATATATTTCTTTGTTCTTAATAAAAGAGCAAAACTTGATACAAGAATATTTTGTTAAATATAATTATCAGAAGCTCAAGATAATGGTATTTCTTCTCTACATGTGTAAGAGGCAATATGCATAAAATGCAAAATAAAAATGTCCCATTTAAACACATTATGAAGACCGAAGTGGGAAATGCCACCTGAACTTATTTTATAAATGAATTGCACGTTCTAGATTAACAAAACACATGAAGACAATAATGATCATCAGGCCCTATTTGGAGCACAGCTGGTCTAGGAGCCAGTACTCAGACTGATACACTTGGACCAAACAGACCACGTCAACTAAAGGAGCCCCAAAGGCCCTTATTCCCAGGTGTAGGCTCTTACAGTTTCAGTAGACTTCATTAAAAGTTGCTTGTGACTGAATCCCACGCATCCTAAGCTAAATTTTGTTAGGACTCACTAGCCAATGGTACATTTACATTCACTGCAAAACGGGGTCTTGGAGCACCTCAAGGACTGCATAGATCAAGGCTCAACAAACTGCAGCCTGCAGGCCACATCCAGCCTGCACTTATCTCTGCAAACAAAGTTTTCAGAAGCACAGCCATGCTCATAAACTTACAGGGTGCCAGTGCTTTCTCTCTGCCAGGATGGCAGAGACAACTTGATGCAGGAAAGACCCTGTGGTCTGCAGAGCCAGAAACACTTGCTATCTTAACCTTCTCAGAAAACATCTGCAATTCCTGCTTAGACTATTTGTAAAAGTGGTTTCTTGAACACTTTTCTTTAAGGACCTGAGTATTTCAGGTAATGTAAAAAAAGAAATGAAGAGTGCCCGTCTGTCCTTATTCTAGGCAGGCGTTCCTGGGCTGAGAGGCAGCACTGTTGGGGTCAGGAGTCAACGTTCAAATCCCAGCTCTGATAGTTGGGCTGTTTTCTTCACTTCTCTGGGCCTCAAAGTCCTCCTCTGTAAAGTGGAATCACCTCCCAGGGCTGTCATGGGAATTGGTCACATCTCACTCCACACGGGGCTGGTACACAGTGAGAACTTACATTAACTAACACTCTTCCTATTGTGGTGTGACACTGCCATCCAAAACAAGCCAGGGCAGGCTCCATGTGGTCTCTGCCATCCCCAGGTTCTGTGGTTCTCTGTGGAGGAGACGAGGCCCTCAAGTGCCAGATTATGTCCTAATTCAGACACCACAGGAAGCTGAATGTAAGTGAGCTGGAGAAAGTCACGAGATGTGAGTCCTCAATCTGTCCCTCTGTGAATGTAGGACTAGCAGGACTTTGGTCAGCCTGATGGGGTGTAGCACATGTGGGTTAAGGGGATAAATGGTACAGCCATGCTGACCCCTCACATACTTTCTTTTGAAAAGCAATTTACCTAGGGCCTTTCTGGCCCTTTTCTGGCTTAAATCAATAGGATGTTACATTCCTCTACAAACACCCTGTTGTTCTTAGGGCTATTCTCTCAGGGCCAAGGAATGTAAGATTCCTCCTTGCCAATATGAACACAAGTTATCCTGACTTTCGTGACCTTTAAACAGACCAAAGATTCCAGGACTCAAGAAAACAGAATAATTAAAAGCAAAGCCTACCGAGTATAAATTTGTAAAAATAAGCTGCAGTGAGAACTGTTCAGGGTGGACCAAGGTCGCTGACACTTGCCTTTAGATCTTCAGCGTATCATCCTAACCTCATCCTAAGAGTAAAGTCCTCCCCACCACGCTGGGTTCCACTTGGTACCTGTGGGTAAAATCACGAGCAGCAGGGATTTAAAAATCTGATGTATTCCTGCTGTCAGTCAGGAGTTCAGAGGTGGGCCCAAACTTCCCTAAACCCCCCCCAATAAAACTGGGCCACAAAGGGGACACCATGTCACTTTCCTCTTTGAGACAGTTCATCTCTCCCTTGAGGGCACTGCCTTTTCTCTTCTCTTACACTTTGCTATAATTTTACTGCAGTTCATGTCTTGCTTGGTATCTTCCTGGGCGAGAACACAAGAGCTGAGAAACCCAAGCCACTAACAGGCTGGGAACTTCTCGGTGCCTCCAGACCCAATCCTAAGACTCACGGTAACCACCTTCAGTACAGACAGAAACACAACTCCGGGAGCTGGAGTCATGGACGACGCAGAGCAAGACGTCATGTACTGGAAAGCAGGACGGGCCTGGCCGCAGTGGGATGGCAGTTTAGGAGACAAACAAGTCAGCAACAGAGGTGGCTCCTTCAAAAACCAGTAGACGCAATGAGACTCCATCCCTTGCCCCTTCCCCACGGGTTCCTCCCTCACCTCACTACCCCCACAAGTCCTCCCATCCCTCCCTCTCTCCCCACTGAAAAGTAGGCACTGGGTGTTGTCGGTGAAGAAGAGAACACCTGGGCTGAAGGCCCAGGACAGCCGCTGGGAGCCTGGCCATCTGAGCCCCACTTTGGAAGCTGAACAAACAGGACTGGTGGGTGGGTGTCGACCACTGGGACCTGGGGGCTGGTCTCTACACCACCAAGGTCAGAGGAATCAGGACAATATGAGGGGGACCGACCAGGCGTGGGTCTACAGCAGGGAATTAAGATACGTGACAATGTCTGTACCACAGAATAAACCAGAGCACAGCAGCAACTGCAGCAGAGACAAACCTGCAACCTGGCAGCCAGTCACACCGTGGGCCAGAAGATGCTGAGAGTCACCAGCGCCTTGAAGGTCTCTGCACAGTGGGGCCAGCCCCAAGCTGCTTTTCCTTCAAGATTCAGGAGGAATTCTCTTTCTGAAAGTGTGCTCATTCACGGCTATTTGTCACAGTAAAGATCAGTAAAGGTCATAAGCTATCACGGCATCTCAATCTCTAACACCGCTGGGTGTGCCACTTCCACGAGGACATCTTACTTACCAAGGAGAGAGAGGGCAGACACCGAACGTCCTCAGTCATGAATCACTGAACTCCACAGCCACATGGGCACTCAAGCCCCGCTCTCACACACCAATGCTTCAAAAAAGAAGGAAAGATCAGTTGGCACCTTTTAAAAGATTCTGCATTCATTGGGTATCAATTCTAGAAAGTTCCATCAATGCCCTTAGAACCAGCACAAGCTGCTAGAGCAATGCAAAACCTAGAACACAGTGTTGCACAGGATGGCTTGCTGATCACCGATGAGTGCTCCAAGTCACTATCACATGCACCAACGCGTTTCCTTCTTCAGAAAGGAGAAATCAACAATTTGATACTGTTCATCATGAGAGGACAAATGTCATGAAACCTCCAAAGAACCTGCCCATGTTATGACAATTCTTTCATTTCATCTTTTGAAACATATCCTAGCTAAAGTAAAGCGTTTCCAGAAGAAGATGAAGGCAGGAGGTATGAAAGAAACTATGCCTGAATTTTAGTTTGTACATTACTTATATATTAATTTGCCTGGTGCACAGTTATGAGACTTTGTAGGAAGAATTATAAATCATATAAACAATTCACCTGATCAAAACCAATTAAACCTTATGTATCTCCTCATTTGAATTAATATGTAAAAATCTGGGGAACTGAATATCGTAATGGAATGGAAAGACTACGGCAATTCCAGCCTCCCGCAGGATGCATGCACCAAAAGTTGAAATGAGGGACTTCTCATTTATCATCCTTAAATGATAATGTGTCCATTATCAGGGATGGACACCTGCCCCTTCCAACACTGCCCTTAGGGCTTCATGCTTTGGTATCCGTGTTCATCCAGTTCCTTTCTTTCTCTTCACTCTTCTCAGCTGTGGCTTCTGTCTACTGCGCATGAGAAGCACACTGATGTCCACCAGCCCCACCCACACACTTAGGGAGCAGCTGAGAACAATGAAGACAAAGTAGAGGGCAGGCTTTCCAGAACATTCTGGCTGTTCCTCCAGACAACGAGTCCCACATGGTCTGTTTCAGTAATGACCGAAAAGCTATCAGCCTACAGAAAATAATCTGAATTACAGCTGAAATTTTATGAAATATTCTATCTGCTAAACGCTGACTTGGAGGTCCTGGGGTTCAAAGCAGCAACGCTGCATCTCCATGAGGCTTCCCCATCCAGAGAGTGCTTGGGTGAGTTCATGGGAAGCATGGGGGCAACCCAAGGCAGCATCATCGGTAGGGCCTGCCACAGAGGCACCCAGCAGCCAGGTGTGCTCAGACAGCGAAGCCTCACCAACTCCAAGGTCCCAGTTGTGTCATTGAAAGCCTGTGACATCATCCTTTGGAAAAGACAAGGTGCAGATGCAAATGTTTGAGGCCAAAAGAGAGGTCAGGGAGCTCTTCCCAAGTAAGGATGCACATTCAGTCCGGGAAAAATTCCTGAGAGCAGCCAATTTCTTCTTCACAACATCCCTAATGTCTCCTTTGGGTGTGGCCGAAAAGTATGTCAGTTAGGACTTCATTATTACACAGCATGTTTGGAGACATGAATCTCCTCTCTGGAGCCCTGAAATCTGTTTTACAACAATCATGACTAAAATTTCCCTGTATTTGTTTAGAACATAATCAAAATTTAAAGTAATAAGTTTGGACAGAGCCAAAGACCTGGCTCTGTCCTGCCATGGTTACCTGGCAATGTCTGTGAGTTCCCACTTGTCCAAATTAAATTAAAAATAGGGCGGATGGGTTTCCTGTCCTCACCCAGTGAGGTCACAGATGAGCTGGACACCTGAGACAGTTTGCAGAATACAGGCCATTCTCTGAAACAGCCAAGGAGACAAGGCCAAAAACAGCACTGAAAGAATCCCAGGAAGCAAAGAAAGCCAATACTCAGGAAGAGAGATCCCTGCTGAATCCAGGCAGGGACAGCCAGACAGTCCCAATCTTCAGGTTTCAAAAGCCAGCCCCTTCCTTGAGAAATGCCACCTTGAGTGACCGTGGTTTGGGGAAGACACAACTGTCCTCAGAAGATGAAGTCGAGGAAGTTGGTCCCAGCAGCAGGAGTCGGGGCAGACACCCTACAGGGTTCTTACTGCGCCTGTGGCAACATCAAGAAGGATTGGGGGAGTTTACCATCGGGTGAGACAAGGCCACACAAGCAGCAGGTGCACCTTCAGCCCTTGGCTGTGCAGGCATGGCCGGGGCTACCCACCCCTCCACGCACACACACAGGTGCACAGGCGGCTGACTCAGGGCAGAAACCGCGTGCAGCCCTCGGGTCTGAGCTGAGCTGAAGGAACGCAGGACAGTCCTCAGGTAGGACAGCACAGGGCACCTGTCTTCCCTCACTAGGACCACCAGCGTGCTGACACATAAACCAGGGATCACAGACATTTCTTTTAGAAACTGAGCAGGAAGTCAGAAGGTAAAGAAACTCCAAACGTTGGAGGCTCACCCCAATTGGAAGTGGGAATATTTTGAAGCAGGACATTTTTTGTCTTTTTTTTTTTTTGGCAGGAGTGGGGGGTGCTGTAGGCAGGACAGATGGTCTGTACTAGTGATGTGGACTTTGGTTAAGGCTTTGTGTCCTGCGCGCTCAGCCTAACCTCTGGAGGAGCTAGAGACTGAGGTCAGCCATGCAGTCAACAACATCCATCTGGTCCATTCCCAATAAAACCCTGGACACCAAGGCCAGGGTGAGCGTCCCTGGTGGCCAAGACTCCACCTGTGTGGTCCTAGAGGAATAAAACCCTGTCCACAGGAGAGACTGGGAGAGGACAACTGGAAGTTCAGGCCATCTCTCCTGAGCTCCGCCCTGTGCAGCTCTGCATTGCTGCTTCAGCGTCCTTCAACTGAGATCAACCATTACCATGAACCTAAGAGCTTTTCTAGGTTCTGTGAGTCCGTCTGGTGGCAATCTTGGGACCACCCAACTGGAAAAGGAAGGATCAAATGCAAAAGTAACATGTGTGAAAGAAGGCTGGGATAGTGTGCCTAGATGGAGATGAAATACACAGGGAGACAGAGTGTCAGCTGAGGCCTGGGACCCGAAAGTCTTGGGGAACAGAGACATCGTTTGGAGAGACTGGTCAGAGGCTTCACTGCAAACAGACAGGGGTCCACACATGGCTGGAGGTGCAGTTGGGGCCTGAAAATCAATGCTTGAAACTTGGAGCTCCAAATGGCATTTCACTTCAGAGGTAGATAGATCGGTAGATAGATAGATGGATATATCCCCCCTCTTCCCAGTTATACACCAGCTATCTAAAATCGATTTTTAAATATTTTAAATAAAAGAACTACAAACCATAGTCCATATTTGCAAAACAGTAATTGTACAGAAAAGCAGGGTAGAAACCCAATGTACTAAATAAGGAAAAAGTTTCCTGGAAGTTTTCTGATAACATAAACACCGTAGGATCTAAATTTTCTTTCTAGAAATTAAAATACAAACTGACTAAAGGATGCGATTTTTGGTGGCTCCCAAGTGCAGTTCCACTGGTTTGGGGGCAGGGGCTACCAGAGAACCAGCACCAGGAGGTGAGTGGCAGATGGAGCAACCTCTTCACTCTGGCTGTGCACACTGCCCCCTTTCTGTCACTGTCCCCAACCTCTGGCTGCCCAGAGCTCCAAAAGGACATCTCTTCTTCTTAAAAGAGTGGACAGCACCTGGAGAAATTAACATGTTTAGGGTAAAAAGATGCTGTCATCAGAATACCCCAGTTGTCAAGAAAAGAAAGGGAAGGTTGGCAACAGAAAAAGTGGGGAGACGAGGGACCAGGGGAGGACAGAGTGGACAGCGGAGAGAGGGAAGGAGAAGGAAGGACAGACAGGAGGGAAGGAGGGAAATGAGGCCAAGACCAGAAGTAGCCAGCAGAGATACTCAGATTCCAAAATTTTATGACCTTTCCTTTTGAACATAAGTTATCATTATAAAATATACTTTATTGCTTATCTTTAAAATAGAATTTATTTTATGACTTTGAAGCTTACAACATGATGTCATTGGGGGAATATACCAGGACAGTGAAAGGGAAGTAATGACTGTCACATCATCTCAGTTACTTTTTTTGGTGACAAAACCCGCTAAATGCTACTTATTTAACTAAAATGTAAAATATCATAATTTTATTGACTCAGTGTCCACACTGCCCAATAGCTCTGTCTTAGTGAAATGCAGGCAGCCTGAACTCCAGTGGGAGGGAGCTGCCTCCACAGTCCTGAGCAAACGTCCCAGGGTTTCAGAGAACAGCATGAGGCTGGAGATGGAGCTCAGTGGTAAAGCACTTGTGTTGCGTAAGCAAGGCCCTGGGTTCAGTTGGACAGGGAAAAGAAACTGGAAGGGAAAAGCAAAGCGCACATAAAGCTCGAGGTGAGAAAGAAAGCAGAGTGCCAAGTCATGGCTGTACAGAGCTCTAAGGAACAACCACCCATGTCCTCCTCTGTGCCAGCACCAGCTAGTATCAGAGACTCATCCGCAGAGTGTGTTCGGATCTCTTGAATGTAAGATTGCTGACCATTTCACACTCAAGACAGGGTCAAGATTCAAATGGAAAAGTCAGTTTGTTTTAAAGACAGAGATTCCTTGATTTGTCCACAAGCACAGTCGAACACTATTTAGCACTGGGATATTTAGGTGCAAAGAGCACAGTAAGAGATGTGATGGATTTGCCATGGTGGACTTTCTTCCTGTTTCGGATGCTCCTTCGCCTCTAGGCTGCCAGCACTGGCCAGCACAGGGTCACTGTGTGGTACCCAACCAAGCTCCACGCTGACAAACAGCATCTGGATGGCACAGTGCTCTCACAAAAAACCACGTCTGTTCAAACAGCGGAGGATGCAGAAAGGCAGAGATGTCCCACAAACACATGATACAACAAAGTCACAGGACAAGGAGGCATTGAAAATCAAGTCTTGAGACTTGTGATAACAGGACGATTTTGTGGTTTTTTTGTTGGGTTTTGTTTTGCCATTTCAGTACAGAATGAGGCCAAGAATGGCATGCCTGGGACCATAGGGATGTGGCAGGTCTCTGCCCTCAAAGAGTTGGTCCTCTGGAATGCCTTCTCCCCAAATCAGAAATGATCTCAATAATTAGGTCA